TTCCAAAACCTCCTCCATATTGGTGCACATAACAAAATTCATTCTGCACATAGGTGGGAAAAATTAGAGGGAACACTGATTGGGGGGCTCACCAGAAGTGGCAACATCCCCCTCCCTCAGCTCCTAGGTGGAGGCGTGGCCAGGCAGCTCTGCGCGCTGCCTCCGCCCTGAGTGCTGGCTCTGCAGCTCCCATTGGTTAGGAACCGCGGCCAATGGAAGCTGCAGGGGCGGTGCCTGCAAGCAGAGGCAGAGCTGCCTGGCCACGCCTCTGCCTAGGGTGACCAGATGTTCTGATTTTATAGGGACAGTCCCGATTTTTGGGTCTTTTTCTTATATAAGCTCCTATTATCCCCCACCTCCGTCCTGATTTTTCACATTTGCTGTCTGGGCACCCAACTGCTTCCTAGGAGCTGAGGGAGGGGATGTTGCAGCTTCCGGGGAGGTACGGAGCCAGGTAGGGAGCCTATCAGCCCTGCCAACCCTCCCCCCTGCCCCAGCACCAGCAGGGGTCCCGGGCTGCATGCCGCTGCATCCCCGAACCCGCAGTGCCCCCCAGGTCTCCCTCCAGTACCCACGATGCCTCTGGGCTGCCCCCCTGAGCACCTGCGACACCCCTGGGCTGCCCCACTCCCAAGATTTACTTAGGGGTATATAGTACAAGTCATGGACTGGGCACAGGCTGTGAATTTTTGTTTACTGCCCGTGACCTGTCCATGACTTTTACTAAAAATACCCATGACTAAAAGGTAGCCTTAGCCATAACTGACATGCTATGTGCAGATAATAGGCCACAGTACATCACAGCAGAATTAAAATGGTTCAGTACTAAATGGAAACTTGAACACAAGATATCTTCCCTTGGGTACCCACAAGCACTGAGAAGGCAGAGTCAGCAGTAAAGACAGGCAAGAGACTGATGACAAAGGAAAACAGACAGAGGAAAGGATCCCTACCTGACAATGGACAGGGTACAGAAACAGTTAAGATAATGCCAAGATAGGCAGGCAGCCCGCTACAATAAAGGAGCCAAGGACCTGAGGCTTCTATGCACAGATGAACAGGTCTGGGTCCAACCATCAAATAGCCACACAAAGAAATGGCAAAAGGCAACAGTCCAAACTAAAGTTCGACACAGGTCATATGAGGTAGCTAAGCTACAGTCTCTGGACAGCTAAGCTACAGTCTCCGGAGAGGAAACTGAGGACAATGGTGTACTACTGGCAGACAGCTGATATACTCAGACAAGGCCAAGGCTAGGAGAACTTAGAAAAAGCCTCAGCCATCATTTGGCCTGATGTAGGAGAGTCAGAAAAAATGTGGCTCAAGAGCAATAAAGAGAACCAACAGGACACCATCTAACAGAATGAAGACAGCAATAGGGTGGATGCAACTTCCACACCAGTAGTCATAACACAAACAAGAAGTAAGAGACTGCTTCAAAGACCAGCATATTTGAAAGACTCTGAGACCTAGCAGACAGCAAGGGGCTGGCAATAAAGTCATGTCCCTACAGTGGGCATGTCACCAAATGTTTGCATAAAAAACACAATAATTGTTGAAAGGAAAGATATAGCAACCAGCATGGAAATGGGAGGGAGCAGGGCAGACTGTAAGAGGGAAGAGTTTGGAGGATGCACCAGGGAGCTTGTCTCTGTGCGCTTGGCTTGAATGCTAACTGCAGTTGTAGCATCTCTATAGCTCACGGATCGGCAACCTTTGGCACACGACCCATCAGGGAAATCTTCTGGCAGGCCAGGACGTTTGTTTACCTGCAGCATCCGCAGGTTTGGCCGATCGCAGCTCCCACTGGCTGCGGTTCACCGTTTCAAGCCAATAGGGGCTGCGGGAAGCAGCGTCCAGCACATCTCTCAGCCCGCGTTGCTTCCCACAGCCCCCATTGGCCTGGAACGGCGAACGCAGCTAGTGGGGGCTGCGATCGGTCGAACCTGCGGACGCTGCAGGTAAACAAACCGTCCCAACCTGCCAGCGGATTTCCCTAACATGCTGTGTGCCAAAGGCTGCCGATCCCTGCTATAACTAGTTCTCTTAATAAAGAACCGGTTTAGTTTTAGAAATATGTTATCCAGCACATGGTAAATGAAACAAAAGGTTTCACTTTATTATCAAGAATTTAAAATTTGCTTTCCCGAGAGGCTGCATTTTATATTTTAAAGCTTCCAGCGGTTCTTTAATGGACAGCTCTCCTGCTGTGGAAGTGGGGGGAGGATCAGTACCTTCTGCAGTAACTGTGCTCACACTTCATTTTTAGCATATATATCTATATCTATCCATATTTAGGTATAATGTATGTTGCTTAGGTCTTCCTCATTCTCTGACAATTCAGGCAGTTCACGGTACTGAATCAGCTATTTAATAGAAACAATGTTGAAATAGGGGAGGCAGTGTAGCCTACTGCAGAGGCTCTCAACCTTTTTGGTTCTGAGGCCCCCCCAACATGCTATAAAAACTTCATGGCCCACCTGTGCCCCAACAATTGTTTTTCTGCATATCCAGTAGATTAAAATCCAGGGCAGGCGTTGGGGGGTAGCAAGCAGGGCAATTGCCCGGGACCCCACGCCACAAGGGACCCCACAAAGCAGAGTTACTTGGTAGGGCTCAGGCTCAGGCTTTGGCTTCAGCTCCAGTCCCAGGCAGTGGGGCTCAGGCTTTGGCTTTCTGCCTTGGGCCCTAGTGAGTCTAATGCTGGCCCTGCTCTCTGGTTTATTTTGGCGGATTGTCTGAAACCTGCTCATGGCACCCCGGAGGGATGCTGACCCCTAGTTGAGAGCTGCTGACCTACTGAATGTAACATGTAGGGTTACCACCTTTGAAATGCAAAAAAAAAAAAAACCCCCCCCCCCCCCCAAGGCAAGCCTGCTGCAGCCCCAACCACAAGGCAACTCTGGAAACCCACCAACCCCCAGCTTTAACCGACACTTATAGTATCTAGAGAGATAACACATATAGATAAGATTGCTAACATTAACATCACAAGTCTCCTCACTCTCCTGTGACTCAGAATCCTGTTGCGCGTGCACACATGTGGTGCACTTGCGTGTTGGTGGGCAGACAGCTGCTGTATTTTCAACAGTTTTGATCTGTTATTGCTTAAATTGCAGCAGTGGGAAGGAACACTGCAGCACTTTTAGATGGACACAGAAACTTTTAATATTAGATATCCCAGTGTATTGTGATAGTAATGCAAATCTTTAGACCCACATAAAAATATCCTGGCAGATTATTTCTCAGGCAACTGGCAAATCAAGAAAAAAAAAACCAGGCAGGTCAAATACTAGCCACGTGGTAATGCTAGGAACACTAGATGAGGACGCTGGAGACCTGGGTTTTATTCCAAGTACTGCCACTACCTGGCAGGGGTGTACACAGGAATAAAAATTTGGCTGCTTTTGGAGGGAAACTTTCTGTGTCCCTCAGCCAGAGGAGCTGTCTCTCTTCCCCCATGTCCCCCCCCCCCCATCCTCAGGGCTGGAGGAGCTGTCATCTCCCACCCCAGTCTGGCTGGAGCTCACACTCCTCATCCTGGTGGAGTTCTGTACCCCCACTGATTTGGGGGGGGGGGGCTATGCCATTGATTGTCCCCCCTTGCACACGCCTCTACTGCCTGGGTTTTATTCCCAGCAACCCATTTATCTGTTCATTCCCTTCCACAACTGTAAAATGTGGATGATACTTAACTCTTTTGCAAAGTGTTTGGAGGTTTACTGAAGAAAAGCACTATTTACTATATTAAAAAAAATTGGTGACAACTTATAACAAAGGTGTCATACACTACTACTGGTAAGAGACCAAGACTTACAACTTGATCTGAGCCACCTGCAAAAAGGTTAATACCTTTGAAATGTGGAAAGGAGCAGTGCCAGTGGTGATTCACTCCACCACTAATAGCTCAGTAACATGCAAACATAGAGAGCTCTGGCTGCATGCTGGGTCCCTTGCCACACCCACCCATCCCGAATTCTGCTTCATAGTAAGTCTGAACTGTCTGGCCAGCTGACCAGGCTAGGGCATTGTCAGGTGTGTGGGGACAGGCACATGAGGAGAGCATTCTATATGAACACTCTGTTATGGGAATTGAATGACAAGGTCAGCGAAAGCCCCTGTAGCCAAATATTTTCCACAGGTGCATGCTGCAGTGCAAGGGCCAAAGCGGGTGGCAGGATAAACAAGCCTCTGCTTACATTGCCACGCATTTTCCTGGCTGCGCTGGCCAGGAGCCTGCTGGCTGCAGCAGGTTTCCTGTTGGGGGGGGGGGAACTGTGGGACTGGCAGGCCCCAGGACGCAGAGTTAGCTGGGGCCTGTTGTCCAGGCTGAAGGTGGGGACTGCCCTCTGTCCCCATCCTGTGCTGAGAGGCTTCTCCACCTCGCCCCGCAGTGCTGGTCACGTGAGCGAGGATAGCCGGTTCACCAACCCTGCGGCCCCACCCCTCTGGAGGGCACGTGTCACGCGCACGTAACGAGCGCGTCCCCGCAGCTCGCGCCAGTGGCTCGTTCAAACTGGGAGCGCTGAAAACTTGCGGTAAGTGGCGCCACGCGGCGGGCGGGGATGAGGGCGAAGAAAGCGACGGCAGCCGGGAGGGATCAGAATACTCTGGGCCGCCAGCGGCGCGCATAGTGTGTGGGTGGGGGGGATGGAGTCAGGAAGCCGGCCACGGAGGGGGCAGTTTGTTCCTTTAGATAAGCGGGGAGGGAGCGGAGTTCCCGAGGGGGCTTTCGGGTGCGAACATTCGGTGGGGGAAGGGCCCCAAGGGGGAGGAGGCCGCGAGGTGCGTGGCGCTGCGGCTATAGTAATAACCGGGGAAAGCTGCTCCCTCTCCTCAGCTGCGCTCGCAGCGCCTTGGCCAGGCGCGGTGCTCGCTCCGTTCGAGCGCTCGCCGCGGCGGGGGTCGGCGTCGTCCCGCGGCGGAAACCCGGGAGTGGCTGTAGCCCAACAGCCCCCACCCTCGCTCCTAGGCACTAGCAAGCGCCTTGAAATAACAACCCCAGCGTCACGCTTACACGTTACTGGCAGCGGGGGAGGGTAACGAACCGAGAGCGCTGCTTAGAAGGTGACCTGGAAATAAATTGTCTTGACAAATGGTTTTATGATGCGATTTCCCACCTACACGCCACGGGAGAATTTCTTAAGGACCGAGTCCAACCAGAGCAAAATTGGCCTCTTCTCCTGTGCAGCGTATCAGAAAGTTTAGTCTGCCGCGAACATTTGGAGAGCGCGGCCGGTCTGGTCTGGAGACACCTTCAGGAGGAGGCGAGTCTTCAAAGTATCCGACTACAGGTGGTGAGACTCAGCTCATCCTAATCACTGGCAGAAACACAGGTGCTACAGTGTATCAAACAGTAGAGGTCGGAGTGGCATGTTGCCTGTGATCTTCGATATACTGCAGTGGTCCTCAAATTTTGTACTGGTGACCCCTTTCACATAGCAAGCCTCTGAGTGTGCACCCCTTTATAAATTAAAAACACTTTAAAATATGTTTAACACCATTATAAATGCTGGAGGCAAAGCGGGGTTTAGAGTGGAGGCTGACACCTTGTGACCCCCACTTTGAGAACCCCTGATAAACTGCTCCTGTTTGAGAGGTCATTTTTGTGCTGGTCCCCTCCTTTCTTGCCAGCATGTTATGTTGTTGCTGCAGCCTGTTGGAGTATACAGCCAATTCATAGGAAGTCCCGTAAGTGGGATTTTTAAGAATACATCCCAAAGGGTACAAAACCCTGGGAGAACTTCAGAATTGGTCTATATATTTAAAAACAACCCTGCCACTAATCTGACTCCCCCTCCTTGCTGACAGGAGCAAGTCTCTAGTAGCTGTTATGTCACAGCAGGACCCCTCCCATCCTTTGAGTTTCTCTGCCACTTACCCTGTTAGGATTCCTTCTTTGTGTTTGACTTCTCTCTCTCTCTCAAAAAAAAAAAAAAAAAAATCCAGTAAGTGTTTAATGCCAGAGTTGGAGGGGAAAGGAGGAAAGAGCAAGCAAGAGCCCAGATGCTGTCATGTTGAGGTATCCTTCTGCTCCCTCTGTTTGCTATGGTTCAGTGAGACACATTGATTAGAACAGTGGAGTCTGACAGAACAGTTGCCACCTGTAGAGGAGGCAGCATTAAGAATACCCACCATTAGAGGAACAATACAGAAATAGCATTATTTTAATTGGAAAATGGCCTTCATGATGGGGATGTTTTAACAAGGGGCTCCTGTGACTCTTCCCCAACAAATTATGTTCATCTATGTGTCTGACAATTTTGTTCTTCAGTTTGCCCGGTACTGAAGTCAGGCGTACCGACCTGCAATTGCTGGGATAACCTCTGGAGCCATTTTTAAAAATTGACGTCAAATTAGCTATCCTTCAGTCATTTGGTACAGAAGCTGATTTAAATGATAGGTTACAGACTACAGTTAGTAGTTCTGCAGTTTCACATTTGAATTCCTTCAGAACTCTTGGTAAACACCATCTGGTCCTGGTGATTTATTACTGTTTAGTTTATCAATTTGTTCCAAAACCTCCTCTACGGACACCTCAATCAGGGACAGTTCCTCAGATTTGTCACCTAAAAAGAATGGCTCAGATTTGGGAATCTCCCTCACATCCTCAGCTGTGAAGACCGATGCAAAGAATTCATTTAGAATCTCCGCAATGGCCTTATCATCCTTGAGTGCTCCTTTAGCATCTCGATCATCCAGTGACCCCACTGGATGTTTAGCAGGCTTCCTGCTTCTGATGTACTTAAAATTTTTTTTTTGCTATTACTTTTTGAGTCTTTGGCTAGCAGTTATTCAAATCCTTTTTTGGCCTTCCTAATTATATTTTTAGACCTAATTTGCTAGAGTTTATGCTTTCTACTTTACTCACTAGGATTTAACTTCCACTTTTGAAAGGATTCCTTTTTGCCTCTCACTGCTTTTACTTTGTTGTTTAGCCATGGTGGAACTTTTTTGGTTCTCTTATTATGTTTTTTAATTTAGGGTATACATTTAAGTTGAGCCTCTGTTATGGTGTCTTTAAAAAGTTTCCATGCAGCTTGCAGGGATATCACTTTTTGTGCTGTACCTTTTAATTTCTGTTTAACTAACCTCGTCTTTTTGTGTAGTTCCCCTTTCTGAAACTAAATGCTACAGAGTTGGGCTGCTATGGTATTTTCCATTTTATTGATTTTTTTATTTTAATAGTCTCTCTAATTTCTTTGAGCATTTCACAGTCACTATCACCATCCTGGTCAGGTGGTCAGTAATATATCCGTACTGCTATATTTTTATTATTCCAGTATGGAATTACTGTCCATAGGGATTCTGTGGTACAATTTGATTCATTTAAGATTTTTACTTCATTTGATTCTATGATTTCTTTCAAATATAGTGCCACTCCCCCACCAGCACGACCTGTTCTGTCCTTCCGATATATTTTGTATTATTAAGTCCCATTTATTATCCTCATTCCACCAAGTTTCTGAGATGCCTATTAAATCAATATCTTCATTTAATATGAGGCACTCTAGTTCACCCATCTTATTATTATTTCCTTGAGAGTTTCACTCAACCTGAGACCCTTTGTTTCTGGAGGATCCATGTAGGTGCATGTAATGACATTCTTCAGTCCTTTTATTGTTGCCTGTGACAAAGTTTCAAAGCATACTTCTCTTGCTACTGCAATAACAAAGCACACAAGGGGGCAGATCCTCAGCTGCTCTATATATTGTAATAGGCCTATGACAGTTTACATGAGTTGAGGGCCAGTCCCTAGGTGTAGTGGTGGCATAAATTATTCGTAATTTTTCGTTTCCTCTGCAGTTAATTTTACAAACGTAACATTGTACAGTTAGAATGTGAAAAGAAAAATAGCAATTAGACTTTGAATAAAAGAGGCTTGCAAAATAAGAAAAGAAGAAACCTCACAGGGATTTTCAGAATAAAATAGCAGAATGATTGATCTGAGAGGCTTTGGAATTAGCTTTGCTGCTCCAGCCTGCATCCAGCATCTGTAATTCTTTAAAACTAAACAACATACCTACTACCATTATTGTCAGATTTTCAATCTTTTAAGTTATTTTACTCAATTTTTAAATGTTAAATCATTTTGCATAATTTTTATGTGGCTATTTACAGAAATTTACAATATTCTGTTGGAGAAATTACTACATATTGTATGCAGAAGTGAGAAATATCCAGCTCTATGTTAAGCATTGTATAGTATATAAACCAGGGGTTCTCAAACTGGGGGTTGGGACCCCTCAAGGGGTCGTGAGGTTATTACATGGGGGGTCACGAGCTGTCAGCCTTTGCATCCAGCATTTATAATTGTGTTAAATATATAAAAAGGTGTTTTTAATTTATAAGGGGGGGTCACATTGAGAGGCTTGCTATGTGAAAGGGGTCACCAGTACAAAAGTTTGAGAAATAGTGGTATAAATAGTTATGAAAAAAAAATTAAACTCTTCATATTCAAATTGTCTTTTAATGATAAAACTAGTAGCTAGCTCCTTTGTTCTGAGCAAAATTGGAATTTTGATTTGGGATGTTTGGTAAGGACCCTGGAGTTAATGTGCAAGAGGCTTCAAATGGTTTCTGAAATATCCATATCTTCTAGTTTGTCTTTGGTTCAACAGTGGGTTTTCATCTTAAAAAGATAATTCAATATGTCAAATGGACATCATTGCATTATAAGATCCTCAGGACCTATTAAGCATAGTGACAGTTCTAATTAGTGTCTGAAAACTACATTTCCCTGCTAACTGATGTTGTTTATAGAGGCTGTTTGGATTCTCCCCTTCCCCCCCTCCCCCTTTTTGAAAACTTGGCAGGCCGAGTCTTTAGTTTCTAAGCAATTGCTTCCTTTGTATTGAGGATAAATTTATCAAATTTGAAAGTCAATTTTCTAAATGCTACAAGAACTAAATTAATTGATAATATATATTTACACAGAATACATACTAGGAATTATAATGATTAGATAAATTGAACAATGAAACTTTCCTGTTAATTAGTTATCAAACAACTTCATTTCAGTCATTGCAGAGTAAATATTCTTGGATGTACAGACATGTATTTCTTTGTTTTACAATTGGTTTATTTTTAAAAAAGATTCTGTGCCATCAGTTGAGGAAAATACAGTCGATTTGAATAGATTAGCATACACATTAGAGGAGCTAAAATATTTGGAAAATTGTGTAGTTCTAACAGTTATATATGTTTCCACAAAAAATGCACAAAATTCTGCCATCTGCATCAAGAAGATCAAATACTCTTAGCTGGCATCTCACTGATCTGTTATGCTGATTATTTGATATGAAGGAGAATACGACATCTCCCATGTTATGAAGTAGGATAATGTATCTTGCTTTGTGAAAGTTATGCTTGCTGTCCATCTAACATATTTACAATTTACAAATGAAAAATAACAATCAATGGCTCTTTGCTTTTGCCTTCTTTCTAATGTCAGTGACATAACTTCTGGACTCTTTAATTCTCTTATATGTTTTTCTGCAAAGTTAGTATCATACATTTCCCAAAGAATATTTACTACTAATTATTAGACTTGAGCAAGGTACATTTATCCTTCAATGTCAAGAAATGCTTATGGCAACTGGCAAAGCATGCGTCTTGCCATGAATATCAGATTCAAAATCAATATGGCAGCAAATACCGCTGTGCAGAATGCATTGCGGTTGCTATTGCAGTCTCACAGTGCCCTCTAATGTTCAAGGGTAAAATTTAATGAGTCACAGTAAAGGAAATATTTAAAAAAAAATCAAAATTTGATACAATCTTATGACTTAAGAAACTAATCTGCAGAAACACGGAGTTCCATAGTATGATAGCCAATTTGGCATTAACAAATAATGTATAGTAATAATTTGTACCTTGATATCTTGTTGCGTGGTGCATGAAAAATATGTTTTAGTGAGTTTATTCTGATTCTGTCTTTGGTCTTGTATATTCCTCAAGTTTATCCCATTGTAAAATGTTGATAAAAATTATTTAAAAAACCCCAACTCCTTCATTACAGAGGTTCTAGGAGGACTAGTTAATTTTTGTAAACTGCTCTGAAAATGGAAAGTGCCATCCAACTTAAGCATCATTCATTGTTTTCTTCCTTTGGTACAATTTTTAAAATAAATGTAACAACATTTACTAAGTTATTAAATTATCATAAACATTGATCCCTGTAGGCCACTTGCACAGGAGAGAGGTTTGCTTTAATCTTCTCAAATGTTAATTGTCCATAAACCCAGGAGAATTCAGAAACTTCCCATCTCTCTCATGTTATATTATCTCATGTTAT